AACCCTCCTATTTTTTCAGTAATTCCATTTCGAAATATCGACAACATCCAGAAACGTGTCACCTTGTTTGGTTTCTGGATCAAATAGCTTTATAAAAATGGATTGTCTGCCTACTTTCCACACGGAATATGCCGTAAAGTATCGAGAGGCATTTATGTGAGCTTTTTTGTGTAGTGGTATTTCAGAGCCCATCTTTCGCCTCGCTACCGAGAGAAATTGAAAAATGTGTAACTTGAGTAAGTTTTGAAAAAGTAAAACTGTGGACTGTTTTTCCGACAAAATATAAATTAGGAATTTTCAATCGAATTTTGTTATACTTTGGTAAGAAGTGCACAAATACACAAGTTTCAAAACACAAATGGAATTAGATTGTTCGAGATATACAGAATAGTTTCAATGCACTGCATAATTGTACTTCTAGGCACCGTGAATAAGCACAAATGTGCCAAGAAAATGATATTACAATAATGTAGATGGATTAGTATCGCGTTAGAACAATATGGTCTATACGGAAGACATTACCAATCTTGAGGTGTGTTAATTTCAGGCAGTCCCAGAGCCGGTTTCGGGACTAGTAATCAGAGTTGATAGTCTCGAATCGGTTCTGATTAGCCAAATTCAAAAGAAGATCAGCTTGATCAGTCAGAAACTGAACTCTGGGGGTTGCTGAGAGCTGATAGTGTCGCTGTTTGCGTGAGGAGCTTACCGCTTTTATAAAGAAAATTCACAAGCTTCATTGCTGGATTTCTAAACTTTAAATTAGAATTAAAACATTCCATTTTAATAGCACCATTATGGGTACATTCGACATGTATTTGTCTTTCAAAACCACTTGCAAAATCAATGGAAAATATTGTTTGTTCTAGAGTTCTCCAGAAAACACTCTTTTATATGGTTACGAATGTGTTTACAAAAATTTTAGATGTGGAATAAATGCGATTTCACATAAGACTTTTCCATCTCAGATACACAAAGCGCTTACAATGTAACAAAACACGAAAACATTTGAAAGAAAGTTTCTTTATTTATTATCAGCGTTCATTTTAGCAGAGATTGAAAACATTTTTCTCTAGTGAACCTTTTGAGTGAAATAATAAAGGTGAGACAGGTAGTTTCATCTTGAATAATTATACACTTAAAATTTTTATTATTATGACCATGTGCATTTAATGGACTATTTTTATACGGCAATGAAAGTTTTTGACAAACACAATTTTATCAAGAAGTGTGTTTTGTCGCGACACCTCGATGCTGCGAACTCCATGTGCTTGAACATAATAATATAGCGAGCATTATTTTCTCTTTCTCTAAAGAAATGTGGTAAAAATGAGCCGAACTAAGTCTTTCCATAATTGAAGGGTCTGGTTAAAAGAACCTACGATCTGAATATTTATCTCATTACATAACTCAGAATTATTAAATTTTAATAATATGTAATATATTCTAGAGAATGCATCATATATTTTACTGAGTGATATATATACGTTACATTTCTGAGATTTAAAAGGAGGTACCGACTCGTTTACTCATTTTAATTGTAATTTGTTAAGATGTTTTTAATGCGGCTTTCACCCTCTTCAATGTACGATAAATAATGTTTTTTCCAATATTCCATCTTAGTAAATAGATGCAGAATTTAAAATCCAAAAAGCATGCTTAACGTCGATTCGAAACCTGATTTTTCACCTGAACTTTAAAATACTAAGCAACCACAAAAAAGCTCCAAATAGATTCCTCATGGTACTTGCCGAACTTTACGACATAATATCCTATAATAATATACAATGTGACCAATTAAGACCGCAACACTATCATAAAATCCATAATATTCGTTCAATATTGACAAACTTATTTGGATTGCAGACCGACAGGCCTACTTTTTTACATTAAATTTTATACAAAAAAGTAATCATGTCGACTTTTTACATTCAATTTTATGCAAAAAGTAATCATGTAAAAAAGATAAATTTGGTACTTGCTTCTGAATATGCCGAACTTTATTAAAACAATCTCACTCATTAATAAATATTACGGTAACAGAATTATAGGCCATATTTTTGTTATGAATTTATTTCGTGGTTTTGCAACTTGACACTTTAATCCATCCTTTCATCCCTTTGACTCTTTAAAATCCCGTTTTATTATGCAAAAAAAATGGTCAAGATTGGACGCTTAACCAAAATTTTATGAAGGTGTTCCTATTTTAAAAGGCTCAATCATACAGAGTGATCGGATCTGAAATTAAACAGTATAATTTAAGTGCAATTTTTACGACAAATATAGGATATACAAGGCCATAAACGATTGGTTTACGAGATATAGCTATCTTTCAATACCTATTAATTTTGTTTACAATATTCCTGATATCACTTAAACCAATGTTAATTTAAACTTTTGGAACCCATGTTCTTGCAAAATGTTATAATATTGCTTTCTTGATTCCCTGGTGGAAAGTACGCACTTTCGCCACTGTTTTCGATGGCGAAAGAATCACTTTTACCCATTACAAATTTTCTTCGTCCCGTGTGGAAAGTACTAACTTTCGCCACGCACGCTGACAGCTTGACTGTTTGTCACTGACTGTCAGCTGATTGTTTTGACAACATTTTCAAAGCCGTTTTTTCAAAACCTTATGCTTTTCCCGCCTTGTTTCCACCGAGAATCAAGGAAAATAGTATACGGTACGCGAGACGAAAGTGGAAGACCCGCCACTGCGTGCATGTCACCTTCAAGCAGTGCTTCGTCTCTTGTACCGTACTATACTATTGTTGTCCTATTATAAGTTCCCTGTGAGATGTTTATTGGCATCACAGTTCATATAATCATTAACCACCGGTTCACCTGCAGGTTTGATTCGCATTTAAAAAAATAGGGTCCTATAAACCAAGACGTTTGATCTTTAAAAGGGGACTAGATAAAGAAAAAAACAGATTTTGTTTTGACAAAAAATCCCTCGGGCATATATTGTACAAGTGGCGCCCACTTGTACAATATGTTTACATTTAAAGTCATCAGTGAGTTCTATGTATTAGAGATAGCCATTCAAGTTTCAGTTTCCGACTTTACTGCAAAAGAAACAATGGGAAAGAAGTATCTTTCTTCGATCTGTAACAAGAGGTGCTACTACTTCCGTAAGAATATAATGCCGCAATGGTTAAAATGCTACAAATTTTGAGCCGCGATTAAGATAACGAAGAAGGTCGTGCAAAGTGGGTAATACATTTTTCAATTTTTTTTTTAATATATAGAAAGTAAATTTTCTGCTGAAATTTCTGTACAGAAAATCTCAAAATGTTGATGAAATCAGTTCCTGGAGTGACAACACGATGAAGATGCGCTCTTTGCATTTCAGCCGCATGTTGAGTTTTAGTCTCTCATTTAAATTGGCATTCATGCATCTCTGTGGCAAGTAATGAACGTTAAAATGAACGGAAACTTTGAAGCTTATCTCAGTTAGTTAAGTAGACTTGTATTGGACATGATTCTAAGTGAAACCAATCGATATATCTATAAACAAATTATTGCAGGAATAACTAACAAATCGTTTAGCACAGGCTCATATATGTACGCTTGTATAACCATCAATAAAAAAAATGCATGTGTTCATATGACTGAGGATTACTTGCGTAGAACGCTACTTTACAGAAATGCTATTTCAAAATATATGGAGGGACATAAATTCTAGTTACTTTTTTGCTTGCTCCATTTGGCAAATGCCGAAGCGTGCCCTTCCAGGAAGAAATTCCCAAAACTCAAAGTGCTGTTGATTGGATAAATGCAAATTCCTTTCAGCACATTATTCTAGAAGGGTGTGTATCACCAAGAAAAGCCGAAAGAATAGTTACGGAAATAATAAATCCGTTAGCTGATTGCGAACGAACACTTTTCACTATCAATGCGTAAAAACAAATGCCGGTACCTCTTGTCGAAACTATTCGAAAGAAATCAACCGACTTTGTAAATAATTTTGCTACCAATCTGAAGCACACCGGTGCAATTAAACTACTGAAAACGCAACAAGGATAACCTGTGTTCCAAAGGATTTAAAAACATTCTCCTTACGCGCTTAATTTTTTTGATTTAAATTGCTGCAGAAAAAAATTTGTCGGATGGCTTGAAGTGTAGTTTGTGTTTTGACTTTGTTTCTAATTCAAATAAATCATTTCGTAATACTTTTGCGTGATTTCATAATTTGGAAAACGATGACCGATTTCAACAAAATATCACACAAAAACATTTCTAAATGGAATAGATTATTCAAAGTTTTTCGAATAAAATACCAGTGACTCTCCACAAGAGACATTGGACGCGTATAAGTGTGCAGATTGTTGCACCCATTTAGCATAACAACAAATGCAGAGCATAATAAGTTGACTATTATTTCAAATTGAGAAGAAACAACTTTTAATCGCTTGAAGTTACAGAGAAAAAACTTTCGGGATCCTGTATTGCATAAACGCAACTTTTGTAGACTTATGTTACAGATGTAAATACTATTTTTGTCGTAGAACATGCCCTCAAAAATATGCATCTTAATTTCAGATCAACCGGTTTATGTAAGTACAATATTTACCTATTAAATTAGCCTCCAACTATTTACCGTACCTACTTCGTTAAATTCGCCAACAATAAAGAAATATTAATTTAAATAATTATTTTATTCCTCAATTTGTAGGTCAGCCGCACCCTTTATGACCGTCCCTGACTCAGTTGCTTACTACGGCGGTTCCACTTACAATTAAATGTTAAGCATTCTTCAAAAATTGCACACAATGGCAACTAAATTCATTAAAACTGCTGAGTCAGTTGTATCTGACTATGCTCATCATCAACAAAGAAGTGAATTCTGATAATGAAGAAACAATTTTTAGCTGCTCTTATTATTTTCTCCATACGTGGTCATTATATTAATACTAGAATTAACTAAAGAAAATATATTAATATACTTCATAGTTAAGATAAGATGAAGTGAAGTGATTGAAATTCTAAATTAAACTCACCATTCAAGTTTCATGTTTGGGTAAAGTGTTACAGCCATTTTTGTGTTCAGACGTTGCCCAATAAACTTCTGAAAAAAAACACTGTTTTAATTATGTTATTCATCTGATATCACAATTGATAGGCATCTTAGGTGGGACAAACATGTTACACGAATCGCTAACGGTGGCCGAATACTTATTTATAGGATTTTCACTTTAAGGCATATCTTGCAAGCAAGAAAAATTAGCTGATCGAAGATATGAAGTAGAGAATGAAAATTATATATAAAAGTGAATCACAACCTACAGCCCTGTTTTATTCTGAAGATGTTCCAAATGTTAGGACATTGCACAGTATTCCTGTGTGCCTGTTGGCTTATACCAGGCCATATTCTATTAGAACTATATAACTTCTATAGCCCTCCAAATTACCGTAACCAACTATGTACATTACACTATTCCTACAGACTGTTTAGATTGCAGTGGCAAGAAAAAAGACTTTCAAAACATTAAAACTAGTGCAGCCAGGACCTCATCAAGAGGCTACAAAATCTATCAAAACCAACAGATCCTAAAATTCTGCATAAGGGTTAGAGAAGGGGATGGGGAAAAGTGACCATGTTATAAAGCTGGAATGCAATTGCAAAGTCAGACAAGCAGATGCACAAGATATTAACATACATTTTCGTAAGGCAGTTTATAACTAACAGAAAGAAAGACTACAATAGATAATCAAGTACTGCTACAGCACAAGTTCAATCTTTCGAAGCTTAAGTCAAAGAAGAAAGCTTTTAAAGACGTAGAGGAAAAGGGGAAGTTATGGTTTAAATCACAAGTAACCGAACAGAAGAAATGTATTTAATTGACCATTAGAACAATAATAAAACAAAACATTTGTCTGTATTGATTCATGATCATGATTGTATTGACTATGCACGGAACAACTACAAAAATGGCCAGCTTGCACATCCAGACCAATTTGATTCTTACATTAAACGAAGTTTTAATGCGAAAGGCAGAAAATTCTACCTAGTTCTACATTGCTTTTGACCGAGCTTCAAACGGCATAAAAGCTCTAAAACTGAGTTCCAGTTCGGGGCCATAAAATGTTTTTAATATTTTGGTTAAATTAAGAGAACCTCTCCCGGTCATCCGAAGCAACGTTATGAGGACTGGCCATTTTCCACAGCGGAACTGGAGGAAAGTTGCCGGGACGACAATCTATAAAAAGGGAAATCAGCAGTTGACAATAAGTTATGCACCAATCATCAATCAATGTAACGCTCATCATTACTAACAAGGTTAAACCAATGTGAGAAAGCATTTGTTAATAAACCTATGGAGTACCTAATCTGCGAATTAGAAGACTACGGAGTCCGGAAAAATAGCTTATTTTAATTACGAGTTTCCTTTCGGGAAGCAGTTTTCAGGTTCGACTAGGAATTTAGTTTTCACATGATGATAGAGTGCACAGCGGCGTGCAGCTCGGATTATTATTAATTGGTCACTCTGTTATTTATTGCTTGTCTGAGGTACCTTTTTATAATAGACTAATGACCAACTACTACTTGTCGTTTGTAGGCTAAACGAATGTTTATCACACTTAATATTATTCTTCTTGGAGTGTCTGGGTTCAGACGTAGGCTATCATCATGTTGACCATGCTGCAAAATGTATCTCTGCCTGCTGCTATTATGAAGAGGTCTTCCACTTGTAGATCGGTCCAGTGTCTAATGTTGCACAGCGAGGACAGTTTCTCTCGACCAGTCCATCTCTTTCCCCTACCTTGCCTGTATTATGAGTCGAAGCAAGTGATATTTTGGACCTCTGATAATAGGACCAAAGTACTTGGTGTTTCGCCACTTGATGGTTTACAGATGCTCCCTCTCCGCGTCAATCATTCTAAGCACGTCTTCAATGCAGGTTCGTGTAATCCAAGACATCTACAGGATTCGACGGCAACACTTCAATTCAACGGCCTCAAATTTATTAATGGGGGCAGCCTTCAACGGCCACGTCTCGCAGGCGTAAACTTATGTGGATCACACGTAGCCCTTTAAGATATTTTTCGTCGATTAATAGAGATTTACATTGCACAGAACTGAAGGTGAAATTCAAAAATCATTAAATTGGAAGAATTTACAGCAACATAACGAGAACGTGACAAAAAATAGGTTTGTCCTATCAAAAATTATAAACTGCCTTAAAATTTGCGGAGCATTTGAATTGGCACTACGAGGTCATGACGAATCTGATTCCTTGCAAAATCCTGGCAAATTTCGGGGATTGATCAATTTTGCGCCTGAACTTGATTCAACTTTGGGTTAGTTTGGGAATTTGAAAGGGTTAGTTTGGGAATTGTTTAGAAATTTAAAAAGTTTCGGTTTTGGCTGTTATTGCTGATGAAACGACGGACGTGTCTGCAAAAATTCAACTAGTGGTCATTTTAAGATATACAGTCTCGTAAGCAGATGTTCAAAAGGGTACTGCGATATTCTTTGGACCAAAAGAAGATGATCTGACCTAACTTTTATTAACAAAAAAATTCTGGCTCCTCTGCTATTGATGGTGAAAGTTCTTCAAAAAATTTATCTTTTTTGAAATATTGGGAAAATGGTACGACATATTTTAGTGAAACTCGCTGTGAATTTGTTGTTATGTAAGACTCATATTTTGATAAAACAATCGAGTTCAGCCGTTTTGGACAAGTGGTGAATTCTTGAGTGTCCTGGTACAAAAACTACCAGAACTTTTTAGTTGGAAGATGAAATCCCCTCATTTTTTTAGGTTGATCCACTAATTATTTATTCACAATTTTGTGCTCTTTGTAAAATCTTGCGGTATTCATAGTTTTTGCGAAAAAATATATTTCTGTTTTCTTGCCACTTAACAATGTTAGATATTAACTGCAAGTATCGTGATACGAGGCATAAAATCATAGTCATTCAATCTCACAAATTCGTTTTGAATGACCTTTTCTAATGAAGAATTGACCGACATGTACTGGGAAGTACTTAGTACAAAAAAGTGCAGTAAATGTCTAGCATTGCTAAGTGGCTAGAAAACCGACATTTTTTTTTTCACAAAAACTATCAATGCTTCAAGATTTTACAAATAGCACAAAATTGTGAATAAATGATTGGTGCATCAACCTAAAAAAAATGAGTTGATTTCATCCTCCAGCTAAAAAGTTCTGGTAGTTTTTGTCGACCATACTCAAGAATTCACAACTCGTCCAAAGCGGCTAAACTCGATTGATTCATCAAAATATGAGTCTTACATAAAAACAAATTTACAGCGAGTTTCGCTAAAATACATCGACCATTCTCCCGATATTTCAAAAAAGATAAATTTTTTGAAGAACTTTGACCATCAATAGTATGCAATGTAGCAGTAGTATGCAATGCAATAGTATCCAATGCAGGAGTTCAGGCAAAAATTAAACAAAAATATCCTCTTTGCCCATTTTGTACACTGTTATGCCCATCAATTAAATTTGATTTCGTCCAAAGCAGCTTCTGCAAACGCTCAAGTACGGGTTTTTTTTTGGAAAGTTGCAAGATTTTCCTGGATTTTTCAGTAATTCTCCGCAACGTGTAGAAATACTAAATAAAATTGTGCGAAGAAAAATACCTCATGGCCCTGCAACTCGTTGGAATTTTAACATTCGTACCATTAATGTTGTGTTTGAACCCAGAGAGTCACTGATTGAGTGTATGGAAGAAATAGTGGAAACTGTTACTCAAGCAACCGTCTGCAGGGCCGCTGACTCTATTGAACGTACTTTACAAGAACCAGGATTCGTTTTTTGGCTTATATTTTTCAACCAAATCATGCTACATGTGGATATTTTACTCAATCAATTGCAAAAAAGGAAAACAGATCCAACACAGGTCATGCATGCCATTGATAATTTTGAACAGAGAATTGTTCATATCCGAAATACAATTGACGATATTGTTAACGAAGTTTCAAATATATGCACTGAACCACCACCAACTAAAGGAAAACGATTCCGGAAGTAGCAAATTCAATAACGGTGTTGCAGCATTAGACGTTTGTGACATAATTACAATTTTCGTCAAATAACACGTCAATAACAACTGAACAATTTGGAGAGTATTGTGGCAAGTTTCTTGAAGACAATTTGACATCTGTTTAACTTATCCACATATTGAATAAGAACGACTCTGCACGGAATTGTCGGTTATTTATTCCAGAAGCGACTGTAGGGAAATAAATGGCGCGTTACCCCTCCTAAAATTTTTGATAAAAAATATCTTAGATGAAACAATGAGTGAAACAAAAAGATGTTAGAAACAGTTGTAACAGCCCCAATGACCGACCACAGCAGATGCCGAGCGTTGCTCCTCAACCTTAAAACGGATTAAGACCATCCTCCGCAACTCTATGACCGAAGATCGGTTATCAGCTCTATCCATGACTTCTATCGAAAAGACGTTTATTTCTGAAAGCGACAAGTTTAATGAGATGGTGATCGACAAATTTTCAACTAGAAAGGATCAAAGAATTGAACTGTTATATAAAAATAGATTAATTTAGACTTTACTGTTGCATAATATTTAAAAAATATATTAGGTATTCGAAAACGATTTAAAATTTCAGTGAACTTCTTTTGCAGAACACCCGCTACACATCAGTCCACGAGCCGCTACTGCGTATAGGTACGTTTGTTTTATTGCACCCTTAGATTTTTAAAAATCATTAGCAGAAAATAGCTTACAAAGTCAATTCATAAGATGCTAGTTAACATAACATATTGAATGGTATACTATATACAAACGTTTTATTACATGTGTTAGTCCGAACATAATCTAAATTCACACATGCAATAAAAATATTTTCTTCAAAATGTGCAAGAAAGTGTTGTTGAAAACAAACGAATTCCTGAATTTAGAGCACATTTAAAAAATGCCAACCGAGTTGAATTAAGTTAGTGCCTAACTCAATTTATAAAGTTTGAAACATTTATTTTCCATAATTGGAAAATATTCCATCGTTGGGCTCTCAGAGATTCTTTATTCTCGTATTCGCAAGCTCGAATATTGAAATACCTGGAGGTTCTAGT